CCAAAGATCCCTATAAATAGTCCCCACATTTCACTTTCACTTTTCACTTTTCACTCTCCAGTAAAAGAAAGCTCGTGCTCGGGGATAGTGAGTCTGTGAGCGCCCTTCCAAAAAGGTAAGAGATCGCGCCTTTAAGTTGTTGATTATTTGAAAATTATAATGTCGAGTAAAAGTAGTAGCAGTAAAGAATCGAGTTCTAGTGATAGTAGCAAACCGTCTAAGAGCTCAAACGACGGTGAGAACCCCAAAATCGTAGGTACTTCTATAATTCCAATGGCCATACCTGTGAGTTCGCGTTCTCAGAGCGAGGTAGTAGTGACCTATCCAACAAACCCTACAAAATACAAAGAACATGTAATCATTAAGATAGCTAGGGAATTCGGGGTCATGCCTTTGTGTGATGTTCGAACCCCCAAGCCAACCAGAATCCTACTCGGAGCTCGAAAGGGAGAGATGACATTTTTTAGGGATGCCCTTAAGGCTCGGCTTAGATGGCCTCTCACCCCTTCTCCATCCTTTTCTTGACCTCTTTCTATTTATGCCTGGGTCAATTAGCCCCTAACGGGTGGAAGCTCCTAGTATACTTCTTTATCCTTCGTAGGTGCTTGGAGATCGAGCCTAGGATTGATCTATTGAAGATGGTTTTTGACATGAAATTCTCACCGAGGTATAATTGTTTTGTATATTTGTCTACCAAATGGGGGTTTAAGATGCCAAAGTCCCCGAGCTCTCTCCACGACTGGAAAGAACGATTTTTTTTGTCAAACCCCAGGATCCCGATCACTCTTTTAGCTCGAGGTGGGAAGTTCCGGGCAGACATAGATGAGTATCAGGCTTATTTTGAAGTTCTAGAATAGGATAGGCTAAGATTAGTGAATCATGACCCTCTAGCAGAAAAGATTGATTATCTTCTCGAGGATGACACCCTCGATCTGGAAAACGTCAAAGGCTTCGAGGGTATGGTCTTACTCCCTTGTTCTTTTCACTTGTTGTTTGCGAGATTTAGGTCAAGCTTAAATGTTTGTCATTTTTACAAATTTGGAGATGTCTTTTAACCCATCTAAAACTACTACCCAATGTTCAACATAAGGCCAAGGGCCCCAAGCCTAATGCCCCAGCCTAATCCAAAGGGAATTAATGGGCTAGGGAGGTCGGTACTGGTTTAACCCCGACATTCGAACCCCATGTCCAGTCGAAAGGTCGGACCTTGACATCTAGAGACCCGACCTCCCCTGCCCAGCAAACGCCTAAATCACATGATTGAGCTCGTGGTTGCCAGGGCGTGGCTGATTCAAGCTTTTCATCGATTTTTGATAGTGCTCTTGAGGAGTACTTCGAGTGCACCTTAGTGAAGGACCTTGTTGACCGGTTTGAAAAAGAGGTCAACATTTATGAAGGTGTCAAGACGTTGAAGGTCTTGACTTTGAGGGTAAGATATCGACCTTAATGATGTTTCTAGTTTCATATGCCATTGATCGTACTGACGTCGAGTTTTCTTATTATTTTTGTATAGACGCTGAGTGTGGTAAGGGGTCTTACCTTGAACGGCCTGAATATCTCGAGCCAGCTAGAAGGGCTTGAGAAGGAAAGAGATCAGGCTAAAAGGCGGACTCTCGAGGTTGAGAAAGAGCGAGACGATGCGAAGGTCGATCTCCGTAAAGCTCGAGAAGAAATCGGGATGGCCAAAGATGAGGCCGAAGAGGCCAAACTCAAGCTCTTGCAAACTAAAAAGAGCTTCGAGGAAGAATTGGCGAAAGCCCGAGAAGAAGCTCGTACTAAGGCAATTGAAGATTTTAAGAAGTCTAACAAGTTCGGGACTCTTCTTGGGCAATATGGTTTGGGGTCGTATTATTACAGGCTGTGGCTTGCACACTCTCTCCTGAGGAAGAAGCTTCTCGAAGACCTGAAGTCGATGGTGGAAGAGCTTAAGACGATGAACAAGCTTGCAAACGAGCTCGAGCTTTCCGCCTCTGAGGTCGAGGATGAGAGCGATGGCGACAATGATGATGATGGAACCCCCGACTAGGGTGGGGCTAACACTATCGAGTTTAATTAGGTCGTAGTCATTGAATTTTTGTTTTTGAAAGTTGTATCAAGAACATTGCCCGACCTGGGCTTTCTTACTTTTGTTTTTGAAAATCAATGTTTATAGCCCGATATGGGTTTTGCAATTTGTATTTTAGTTCATGCGACTTGCCTTTATTATGAGATCATGCATGAATTTTAAGTTCATGTGTGGATGTTATGATCGTGCATGGGTCGTTAAACGGTCGATTATTAGTATAGATTATGCTTCCCGACTTAATTAGCTCGAATGTGACGTATTTAGCCTGGGTGTGTGATAGCTTGAGAATATTGTGTGCCTTAATAATACTGATCATCGAGACTATGAATTAGATCAATCCTTTTACTTGGAAAATTGGGCTTCGATTCCTACGCTCGAACATGTATTTGCAGGCTTCGGAATGTCATGTTTGGAGTCAACGAGTTCGAGTATTTGTGTCGTGTACTGATTTTTCAATTTCTCATATCAAGGGGGGACCATTGGGTCACTGAACATTTGAAGGATAAGCTCGGGCTTGTCCTTTAAATAACATCTTTCCTTTGTGGATAAGGTTGGTATTGCCTTTTATGATAAACATTATTTCATACCCCCGACCTCGATCTTAATATTCTTCGTTATGAGGACATTCTGGGATCAAAGAGGTCAGGGTCTTTTGCTCTCGACATGTTGCCATTTGAGGTCTTGGCAGCGTATGTTTGATTCTATAGGTCAAGTGTTAACTGCATGCGTGGAGCACAGCCTTATACTCTGTTAAAGTATTAGCTACATGCGCGAGGCACGGCTTTATGCTAATTCTGGTAAAATATTAGTTGCAAGTGCAAGGCACAGCCTTAGGGTAATTTGATAAAGACTTAGCTGCATGCGTGGGGCACGGCCTTACGCTAAGTTGGAAAAGACTTAGCTGCATGCGCGGGGCACGACCTTATGCTGAGTTGGAAAAGAATTAGCTGCATGCTCAGTGATAAGTGTGTTTTTACACACTTATTTAGTTCACAAACATGATTTAATTATGATCAAAGAGTTTAAATTATAGCTTAATTCTATATAATTATGTTTTGTAGGACTATATTGATAAATGTGGTGGAATTCAAGAGAAAAGAAACAAAAAAGAGCCAAAAAGGAAGAAAATATAAAGTACGAGGACTAAATTGTAACATTTTAATAGTTCATTCGGATCACAAAATGAAGATTAAAGATGTCGCAGGTTCAATTGGATGCAAATGAAAGTCAAATAGTTGAAATTGCAAGAGAAAGGGATTGAAAGAATCAAAAGTCGACTTTGGGGGCTAAAATGCAACATATGGAAGAAATTTTGCCTGGGCGATAGCTCTGTTATAAAAACCGGGCGATCGCCCCATAAGTTTTCCTTATTACCGAGAAGAAAATGCCTGGGTAACAGCCCGGGTTTTGCCTGAGCGACAATCCAGGCCAATCGCGGTGGAAATTTTCTGATTTCCTTTTCTGATTAAAACTCTTATGGAAACAAATCTTGGGAGTCTTTTAAAGCCCTAGGGACGTCCAAGAATAGACACCATGTATTATACATTATTTTGGGAGGATTTGAAGAGCAAGAAGAAGGCAAGAACGAGAGGATTCATTCCAAGAGTCAAGATTTCAAATCAAAGGGCGATTAGGTGATGTCTTTTCTTTATTCTTGTTGTTATGTTCTTCTTCCCATCATGTTAGGCTAGAAAAATCTATACTAGGAGATCGATGAACCTTGTAATGTGATATTTAATTCTTTGTTCCATATTTTGACACAAAAACACGTATTGATTGTTTTGAATGATTTATATACATTTAATTACTTCCATGATTATGGGCTCGTAATTGTGTGAGTTTTGGTAGTTTGTTTTATGCGAAAGAAGAGGAATAAATTCGACAATGTATAAATTATCGTAGGGTCCGATAGGGGATAGAAATATACCCCTATGCTTTGAGTGAATCTCTAAGTACTGTCAAAACTACATGCATTCACATATATTTGCATTCGTCATAGAGATATAGGCTGGTAGTGTATGAGAATAGGTTCAGTTCATCTCTCGAGAGAGTGTTGGATAGATTTAGGAGTATTGATTCTTCAAAATGTCATCGTATTGTCAAAGTGTGGAATTAAGGTTAAATTGAGCATTGCTTGGGGATTCATGATCCTAGTGTGCTTTTATATTCATTGTGTACACCAACTTGCAATCAACACATTCACTTTGCATTTTAGTTCATTCAAATCATACATATTTGCATATTTAGTCCAAGTAAGGTTAATTTAAGTCACTACAATTCACGTTTGACAAATCAGTTTCAGTTAAGGCCAAGTTAGGTAAAATTAAATTAATCAATCTCTGTGGGACGATATTCGGACTCAATTGATCCACTTTATTACTTGTTAACGAACCATACACTTGTGGTGATTTAAATCGAAAGAAAATATTTCGTGAACAAGTTTTTTGCGCCGTTGCCAAGAATTGAGTTTAGTTTAATTTATTTTTTTCTAGGCACTAATTCAAACTTTCAATTTTCATTTTTATTTATTCATTTGATTTCGTTTAGGCATTTTGTTTTATTTTTATTTTAGTTATTTATATTAATTGAATCATATTGCTACTATTGATTTTCTAGCAGAGTTGCATGTCTACATCGACGGGAGGAGAATTAATTCCAGCAAACCAAGAAATTGAGCGAACCTTCCATCGATTGCAACGAGAAAATAGAGAAGCATGTCAACAACAACAAGAACAAATGGCTAACTTACAGAACAACCCCATTTTTCAAGCTAATGAAGGAGAGGCGGCCGATGAAGGAAATGAAATTTTGGGAGATTTCTTGACTCCTCAAGTGATTCAAAGCAAGTCCAATATAGTGTATCCACCATTTGGGCAACCAAACTTCCAGTTGAAGATAAATGTGATACAGCTATTCCAGAATTGACATCAATTTTATGGCAGAGCTGAAGAAAATCCACATCACACATATCTCGATTCTTGGATATGTGCCAACAAATCAGATATCAAGGATTTTGGAAGATGCTATTAGGCTAAGGCTATTTTCACATATGCTAAGGGACAAGGCATTTGAATGGTTAGATTCACTTCCTATTGCAAGCATCACTACTCGGATCGATCTGGCTCACAAATTCTGCACGAAGTACTTCTCACCAGCCAAGATAACTAAAATGAGACACGAAATATCCATTTTCAGCCAGGGAGAATTCGAATCATTTGACGAAGCCTGGAACATATTCAAGAATATGTTTCGGAAGTGCCCTCAACATGGGTTTGACAAAAAGACCCAAATTCGATTCTTCTATATAGGGTTACTCCCGTACTTCAAAAGCATGGTGGACTCATCATCAGATGACTCAATTTCCACACGAACAATTGATGGAGCACTAGAATTATTTGAGAGAATGGCTACCACTTCAGCCATGTGGTCCTCTAAGCAGGTGATTCAAAAGAAGCCTTCAGGTGTCTATGAGGTAGATGCATATTCAGCCTTATCAGCAAAGATTAACTCACTATTTAACAAGGTGGAAAGCATATCACAGTCCACGAATGCAACATATGTACTAAAACTAAATTGTGAAGAATGTGGAAGGAATCATAGTACGACAGAATGCCCAATTCTATCACAGGGAATGGAACAAATAGAGTACACACAATGGGGTTAACATCAACAAGACTATCAAAATTTAGATATTTATAATCCCAGTTGGAAAGAACATCCAAATCTCTCATGGGCTGGCACCCAAAATCAGAATAGGTCCCAGAGGCAATTTCAGCAGGAGAAGACACTTCAATTGGAAGAGATGTTTACAAAGTTCATGGAAAAGACTAAAAAATACATGGAAGTAAATAACTAGTTCATAAGGAAAATTGAAACTACTCTCCAAAATCAAGGTACTGCAATTAAGAATTTGGAGACGCAGATGGGGCAAATGGCACTTGCTATGACAAAAGGGCACCAAATACTTTACCAAGGAATACTGAGTTGAATCCCAATGAGCATGTTCAAGCGATCACAACTCGAAGTGGGATACAACTACCCGAAAGACACGTTGAGAGGCTGAGTGTAAACACTGAAACAACACCCTCTACAAAAGAAGAGATTGTGCAGCAAAATGAGCAGACACGTGAATCTACACCAAAGAAGAGCTTAGAGACATCACGGGGAAAGACCACCATTCCAATTAACCCCTATGAGCCACCCATTCCATTTCCCCAGAGGTTAAAGAAGCAGGGATGGAGCAGTAATATAAGAAGTTCCTCGAAATCTTTAAGAAGCTCTACATCAACATCTCGTTCGTCGATGCACTACTCCAGATGCCCAGCTATGCCAAGTTCCTGAAGGACATCTTAACAAATAAACGCAAGTTAGAGGAACATAAAATGGTGATGTTAATCGAAGAGAACAGAGCCAGGATTCAGAAAAAGCTCCCACCAAAACTGAAAGATCCAGGGAGTTTCATCGTCCCTTGCACAATTGGTGATTTTTATTTTAATAAAGCATTGTGTGATCTTGGTGCGAGTGTTAACTTGATGCCATTCTCTATTTTTAGGAAACTAGGATTGGGAGAGCCTAAAGCAGCTATAGTAACTCTACAGCTGGCTGATCGATCACTTATACATCCATGAGGGATTATCGAAGACGTATTGGTCAAAGTGGATAAACTTATATTCCCAACGAACTTCTTAATTCTGGACATGGAAGAAGACAAGGACGTGTCTATCATATTAGGACGATCATTTTTGGCAACTGCAAGAACTCTTATAGATGTGCAATTCTGAGACTGGGGAAGGAGCGGCCTCTTTTAATGTTTTCAAAGCAATGAAATATCCCACCGAGCTAGACACCTATTTCCAGATTGATGTGATTAACATAGGAATCCCCTACAACTACGAGTTGAAGAAACCGCCAGACATTCAGGAGGTCGATATGATGCACCCTCAATCCACTCTTACTGACTCAAGGGAGATCGAGGTATACACAATGGAGTCTCAAACGGATGATGAGGGAGAGTCCCACCACTTGAAAAAGGACGGGTTTGAGTGTGGATGATAACGACAATGCGGAACAAGGCCATATTGAATAAACTACGTAGGACCTCCCAAGCCATATTTAAAGTGCCATAACACACCTATGCCAAAAGTCGAGCTATCGACTATAAAATAGCGCTGGTTGGGAGGCAACCCAACGTTTCTATCCTTTCATTTACTTCGTTTTGCAATAGTTTAGGAACTTTTCATTTTTTTAGCATTATCAATAATTTTAGGTCATCGATCATACATCCTTATCACATGGATTCTAGGCATGGTCCACATGAGTCCCAATGCACTGAGCATGAGTCATGAGGTTGAAGTCCTATTTTGTTCGGTCATGTGTCAAATTGAACAAAGTGCATGTTTTAAGTAAAATTTCGTTGGTGATTCACATTTTTGTGATATAAACCCTATGTTGAGACATAAATTATGCATTCGGCACACCAACAATGTACACATACACCTTGAAGCAAGTTTGAGGGATTTGTGCACTACGTAGGTTATTTCTTGCCTCAATTGCATATGTTTACACCATGTAAACTAATACGCATACTTTGCACTTTTACAGGATGTCGCCAAAAAGAATGTCACAGGGAAAGAAGAAACACTGTGGGTCCTAGTTTTCATTCGCCACCTCCATATAGATCAGGGGAGTACTTGTATCCCATCTTAAGCTTTGAGTTTATTATTGTCCTTCAATTTTGTCTGTTTACACTTTTATTTCATCTTCACATTGAGGATAATGTATTATCTAAGTTTGAGGGTGGGGTGACATAATCTTGGACACGAACATCTTTTCATCATTTTGCATATGTTCATCAATATCTATATTTCATGACTGCATATTATGTGCTTGATGAGTGTTAAAAAAAAATTTTGCATGTTATTTAATTTGCTGTATTTTCATTCTTGCATGCTTGTGTGGACTTGATAGGTTTGCCAACTATGATGTGATTATTGGACTAGTATAAATTACAAACTGTGGATATGGTGTTGAATAGATTAACCAATACTTATTGATGTAATACTTGACATTCTTGATTGGAACTTTGAACATAAAGTAGGAGAAGAATGATAACCCTCTACTAAATCAAACAGTAAACCACTTTAAGACGATTTGGAGATGGTTGAGCAATCATAGGAAAGCTTTGAGATAAATGGAGGCTCCGTGCATGAATTCTATTGTGTGGATTGCCTAGACCAGTGAGATAAAAATTAGGTGAAAATCTTAAATTGTGGGTTGGTTTTGGAGGCCAAATGTCTAGAAAAATAATAAAGGCCATAAATCTAACTTGTGAAAATAGGACATCTTTTTCCATGCCTTTATTATTCGAGCAAGTAAGTCTGTAAGGATATTTCAAAATTTGGTGCCCCAAAACCAACTGGTTTGGGAGTCATCGGCCCAAAGCTCGTTACATGGGTCATATAGAAAGCAAGAGGAGAAGAGATGAATAAAAAGTCATCTGATCGAGCCTTTATAACTCGAGTGAATAAGCCTACAAGGGTTTAAAACCTGATACCCTAAAGCCAACTGGTTTTGGAGTCATCGGCCTAAAGCTCGCTACAGTGATTATACAGAAAGCAAATGAGAAGATGATGTAAAAAAAATTTATTAGAAAATAAGTGAGAAAAGACACGATAACATCAAGAGGCCCTTGGACGTTTGGTTGAAAAAACTATACCTTTGATGCGAGCCTAGTAACTTAGATTAATCTCAAGTGTTGAAGCAATCAAATTTGGGAGAGTCTTCATTTGTTGACATGTGAACTTGTGATAGTGAGATCTATCCAAATTAAGAGAAGGTAAGGACTGCAGTTGCCTAAAATCCTAACTTTAAAACACAACCTCGGGATAACTGAGTAAAAAGAATAAGTTTGTGGCGAGCAAAGTAAGGACATATTTGACCACTCTAGATCGAGACTAACCCCATCATGAACTAATTATGTTAGCATGATTTCACACAGGTACGTTGGGTATGCAATCAACAAGTAAGGGTTGATTTCATTCTTGTACTAATCAAAATTTTTTGAAGTCAAATACTTAGTCCAATCCCGAGACAATGTAGGTTATTAAGCCATGTTTGTTTAGTATTGAGCCACTATCTTGTTTGAGGACAAACAATAGTTCAAGTTTGGGGGGTTTGATAAGTTTATTTTTACATACTTATTTAGTTCACAAACATGATTTAATTATGATTAAAGAGTTTGAATTATGGCTCAATTCTATGTAATTATGTTTTGTAGGACTATATTGATGAATGTGGTGGAATTCAAGAGAAAAGAAACAAAAAAGAGCCAAAAAGGAAGAAAATTCAAGGTATTAGGACTAAATTGCAGCATTTCAATAGTTCATTTGGATCACAAAATGAAAACTAAAGATGTTGCGGGTTCAATTGGATACAAATGAAAGTCAAAGAGTTGAAATTGCAAGAGAAAGGGCTTGAAAGAATCAAAAATCGACTTCGGGGGCTAAAATGCAACATATGGAAGGGCCTGGGCGACAGCCTAGTTATAAAATCCGGGCGATCGCCCCATATGTTTTCCTTATTATCGAGAAGAAAATGTTGGCCTGGGTGACAGCCCGGGTTTTGCCTGAGCAACAGCCCAGGCCAATCGCGACGAAAATTTTCTGGTTTTCTTTTCTGATTAAAACTCTTGCGGAAATAAATCTTGGGAGTCTTTTAAAGCCCTATGGACGTCCAAAAATAGACACCACACATACATTATTTTGGGAGGATTTGAAGAGCAAGAAGAAGGCAAGAACGAGAGGATTCATTCCAAGAGTCTAGATTTCAAATCAAACGACGATTGGGTGATGTCTTTTCTTGATTCTTGTTGTTATGTTCTTCTTTCCATCATGTTAGGCTAGAAAAATATATACTAGGAGATCGATGAACCTTGTAATTTGATATTTAATTCTTTGTTCCGTATTTTGACACACAAAATACGTATTGATTGTTTTGAATGATTTATATGCATTTGATTACTTCCATGATTATGGGCTTGTAATTGTGTGAGTTTTGGTGGTTTGTTTCATCTATTCAAAAGAAGATAAATAAATTCGACAAGGTATAAATCATCGTAGGGTTCGATAGAGGATAAAAATATACCTCTATGCTTTGCATAAATCTCTAAGTACTCACAAAACTACATGCATTCTCATATATTTGCATCCGTCATAGAGATATAGGTTGGTGATGTATGAGAATAGGTTCAATTCATCTCAAGAGAGAGTGTTGGATAGATTTAGGAGTATTGATTCTTCAAAATACCGTCGTGTTGTCAAAGTGTGGAATTAAGGTTAAATTGAGCATTGCTTGGGGATTCGTGATCCTAGTGCGCTTTAATATTCATTGAGTATACCAACTTGCAATCAACACATTCACTTTGCATTTTAGTTCATTCAAATCATACATATTTGCATATTTAGCCCAAGTAAAGTTAATTTAAATCACTACAATTCACGTTTGACAAATCAGTTTTGGTTTAGGTCAAGTTAGGTAAAATTAAACTAATCAATCTCTGTGGGACAATATTTCTAAGTACTCACAAAACTACATGCATTCTCATATATTTGCATCCGTCATAGAGATATAGGTTGGTGATGTATGAGAATAGGTTCAATTCATCTCAAGAGAGAGTGTTGGATAGATTTAGGAGTATCGATTCTTCAAAATACCGTCGTGTTGTCAAAGTGTGGAATTAAGGTTAAATTGAGCATTGCTTGGGGATTCGTGATCCTAGTGCGCTTTAATATTCATTGAGTATACCAACTTGCAATCAACACATTCACTTTGCATTTTAGTTCATTCAAATCATACATATTTGCATATTTAGCCCAAGTAAAGTTAATTTAAATCACTACAATTCACGTTTGACAAATCAGTTTTGGTTTAGGTCAAGTTAGGTAAAATTAAACTAATCAATCTCTGTGGGACAATATTTGGACTCAATCGATCCACTTTATTACTTGTTAACAAATCGTACACTTGCGGTAATTTAAATTGAAAGAAAATATTTCGTGAACACGCGGGGCACGACCTTTTGCTAAGTTGAAAAAGATTCAACTGCATGCGCGGGGCACGATCTTATCTAAGTTGATTAAGACTTAGCTGCATGCGTGGTGCAGGACCTTATGCTATGTTGATTTATACAGAGAAGTAGTAATGTAAAGGGGAAAATCCATATGTTATTAAAAACGGCTCAAGGAATATGATACCCGAGCTTATTGGAGCATGAACTGTCGGGGCATTAGAGCCCGAAAAGTAAAAAGGAAATAACGTGAACATAATGTGGGCATGTAAGCCTTTAAAGAAAAACTATAGCTATAGCTGGTTACTTGTAATAAATTTTCAGATTGTCGGCATTCCATGGCCTTGGGAGCGACTTTCCCGATGTGTCTCTGAGGCTATAGGCTCCTCCTCTTAGTTTTCTTATGACCTCGAAGGGTCCTTCCCAGGTTGGTCCGAGCTTCCCTGGTAGGTGTCTGGCAGCTTCTGCTTTTCTAAGGACAAGATCGCCAGCTCTAAACCTTCTCATCTGGACCTTATTGTTGAAGTGCTTCACCATTCTGTTATGATAATTTGCAGTTCTAAGTGAGGCTTGTTCTCTTGCCTCTTCAAACAAGTCAAGGTGCTCAGTAGTTCGTCTCTCCCTATTCATCTCGAGCTTCCTTATTGTGGGGAGGCTAACCTCGATTGGGATGGTAGCCTCAAATCCAAAGGCAAGCATGAAGGGCATCTCACCAATTGCTGTTTTGTGCGAAGTCCTATATGCCCATAGTATAGAAGGCAGTTCATTAGGCCAATCACCTTTGGCATCCCCTATTTTTGTTCGAAGGTCATACAGTATGATCCGATTACTAACTTCAGCAAGCCCATTACTTTGTGGGTGTGATACCGAGGTCAAGCGATGATCAATTTCATGGTTGGCACAAAAGCTCCTAAACTGTAGATTGTCGAATTGCCTTCCATTATCTGTGATGAGGACTTTCGATATTCCAAACTTGCATATGTCCTTATGAATGACCTGAGCTTCGGCTTCGAGATTGTTGCTAGTGGTTCAACCTCTACCCACTTTGTGAAATACTCCACTGCCACAGCTTCAAATTTTAATTGCCCTCTGGCTAAGAGGAATGGCCCAAGAATGCGACTCACCATTGTTCGAAGGGAGTTGAGTAATGAATAGAAGTTAGCTCCTCAGTAGGAGCATGTATGATGTTGCCAAACTTTTGGCACTTGTCGCATTTTTGAACATAATCTACAACATTTTTTTTTCAAACTTGGCCAGTAGTACCCATACCTTATCAACTTATATGCAAGAGCTCAAGCTTCTTGGTGATTTCTACAAATACCTTCATGAACTTCAATTAAGGCTTAAAGAGACTTGAAAGGTTTGAGACATCTTAGATAAGGGAGTGTGAAACTTCTGCGGAACAGAACTCCTTCGATTAGACAATATCTAGCAGCTCTATACCAAATACTCCTAGTACGCCGAGGGTCTGCGGGTAGGTTGCCATTACTTATGTAATCAACTATTGGATCCATCTAGGATAGCTCACGGTCGATGTCCATGAAACTTGGCTTTTGAGCTATGCTAGGTTCTGCAACTATCTTGACGTGCGCGGTTCTATCGAGCCCGTCCACACCCATGAAGACGAGTCTGGATAATGTATTAGCTTTGGTGTTATCAGCTCTGGCTACCTTCAGGATTTCACAACTTATGAACTGCCTTTGAAGGTCATGTACTTTCAGACAATATAAGCTCATCTTCTCGTCCTTTCTTTCGAAAGACCCCTCGATTTGCCCACCACTAGCTGTGAGTCACTAAAAACTTTGACATGCTTCAACTCAAGACTTTTTGCAATTTCTAGGGCTATGATAACGGCTTCATACTCTACTTCATTGTTGGTGGCCTCAAATTCAAACCTGAGCGCACATTGTATTTTTGTAGCTTTGTCTGGGCTGGTGATGATGACGCTGGCCCCCGAGCCTGAGCTATTGGATGCTCCATCTACAAAGATCTTCCATATTTTCAACATCGTGATCGGGTCTTTAGCCTGTGTTTCTGAGGGCCTTGGAGTGAGCTCTGCTATGAAGTCAACCAAAGCTTGAGCTTTGATTGCAGGTCGTAGCTTGAACTCTATGTCAAATTTTCCAAGTTCAATTGCCCATTTCAACAGTCTTCCTGAGATGCATGGCTTCTGAAGTATATGTCTAAGAGGTTGGTTAGTGAGCACAACAATCGGATGTGACTGAAAGTACGACCGTAATTTTCTGGCAACTATTACCAAAGCGAAGGCGAGCTATTTTGTAAGTGTGTATCATGTCTCTGCATTAAGGAGTACTTTACTTACATAATAGACAGGCTGCTGAACTCTTCCTTTCTCCTTGACCAAGATCCCGCTTACTGCATTCTAAGAAACAACTAAGTCTAATAGCAACATTTCATCGGGTTCGGGTTTGGTAAGGACTGGAGATGTTGATAATGTCTGCTTGAGCTCCTAAAAAGCTAAGTTGCATTCTTCATTCAAGTCGAAGCTTTGATTTCCCCTAAGTAGTTTAAAAAAGGGGAAATACCTGTCAGCTGCCCGGGAAACAAACTTGTTCAGTGCTGTTATGCAACTTGTCAACTTCTGAATGTTCCTTTTGCACTTAGGAGCCTCCATACTTATCAGAGCTTGAATTTTATCGGGATTTTCCTCTATTCCTCTATGCGTGATCATGAAACCCAAGAACTTTCCATATGCCACCTCAAACGCACACTTTGCAGGGTTGACCTTCATGTTGTACCTCCGTAATTTAGCAAACACTTCTTCAAGATCAGAGACATGGCCATTTTCCTGTTTGCTCTTAACCACCATATTATCCACATATGCTTCGACCATTTTCCCAATTAATTCGTCGAAGATCTTGTTTACCAACCTTTGATACGTTACTACAGCATTCTTTAGTTCAAACAACGTGACAATGTAACAATAGATGGCTGAGTCTGCCATGAATGAGGTCTTCTCTTGATCTTCTTCCACAATAAGTATTTGGTGATACCCCGAAAAAGCATCCAAGAAGCTATACAGCACATGACCTGACGTGCTGTCCACAAGATTGTCAATTCGAGGTAGAGGATAACTATCTTTGGGACATGCTTTATTCAAATCTGTGAAGTCAATGCAGACTTGCCACTTTCCCATTAGCTTTCTTGACAAGAACAATATTAGCAAGCCAATCGGGATATTGTACTTCCCGAATGAATTGTGCGTTAACAAGTTTGGCAATCTCCTCCTTTATGACTTCTCATCTTTCTGGTATAAATTGCCTTTTCCTTTGCTTTACAGGTCTTGCCCCCGGATTTACATTGAGTCTGTGCACCGCAACCTCTGGGTCAATTCCAAGCATGTCCTCAGAATATATCAATGTTGCGAGATAGACAACTCAGTAGTTTCATCATGACTGCTGTATCTAACTCCCGTCCGATTGTCACTTTCTTGCCAAGCTCGAGCTCGATCTCTTCAAATCCCTCCAATGGAGCCAGTCTCTCATAGTTCTCGTGCTCGAGCTCGAGCTCAGTTATTTGCATGATGTCACCCTTGATTTTTCGGACACTAGTCATATAACACTGTCGTGCTACTATTGGCTGCCTCGAACTACCCCGGTTTCATTATTCGTAGGAAACTTCATAGCCAAGTGGAAGGTTAAGACAAGAGCTCAAATCCTATTTAGCAGTGGTCTTCCCAATATGGCATTGTAGGCCATTGGAGTACGGACAACTTCAAAAGTGGTATCTGCATCAATTGCTTACCTTCTGACCCCAATGTTAAAGGCAACCTGATGACACCTTCTCGAGTGATGACCCCACCTCCAAACCCTTAGAGAGGTGGTTTGACTGGCTTGAGCTGTTCCGAGGAGATCCCCATTTGAACAAAGGCTTCATGAGACAATACATTAGTTGCACTTCCATTGTGCACCAGAATTCTCTTGACTTCAAAGTTGGCGATGATGGCCGATATGACTAGAGCATCATCATGAGGGAATGATATGCCTCCCATGTCCTCTGTTCCGAAAGTAATGTCCTCCGTAGAGCCAAGGTCTGATCTTGAGATGGCTGGAGGCTGCCTAGCATATTGTTTACACCCTCTACTAGAATCTTTACCTGAGGTTGTTCCTCCAACAATGATATTGATAGTACCTGCGATTGGTTGCTTGTTTCCCCGACCCTCTAGGCCCTTGTCTCTGTTCTGATTATTCTTCGGGCGCTTGTCATTGCTAACATAAGAACCTAAAAAACCCCTTTTTATAAGAGCTTCAATCTCTTGTTTTAAGGCGAAACAATCCTCTGTTGTATGGCCGCGGTCTCTATGGAAATCACAGTACTTACTCTTGTCACGAGTATCGAGTAGAGACCGCAACCTGGGAGGCCACTTTAGTTCCTTCGAATCCCTGATCTCCATCAGAATGTTGGATCTTAAGGTGTTCAAATGGGTAAAGGAAGTTAAGGAGGGGTCCTGCCTTAGCTTAACCCTAGGTATATCTTGTCTCAGACTGGACTCATGCGACCTTTTCTGATTAGACTTTTCTGATGAGGAAACTTCTCTTTTTAGGGTCATGGTTTCTTCCATATTGATGTACTTTTCAACTCGTGTGAGTAGCTCGATGACTGACTTCGGCGGGGTCTTAGACAAGGACATCTTGAATGCTTCACACTTAATGGCGTATGTCAAAGCTGAGACTGCGACGGTGATATGTAGATCAGGGATCTGAAGCCTTTTTTTATTGAACCTGGTCATGAAACTACACATTGTCTCATTGGGTCCTTGACACATCTGCATGAATAATGCGGCTATCTTTCTGATTCGCTTGCTGTTTGCAAAGAAAGCGGAGAATTTATTGACCAAATCTGAGAAAGAGGCGATAGAGTTAGGTTCCAATGTAGAGAACCAATCTCTAGCTGCGTTTGTGCGGGTTTGAGGGAATGCCTTGCACATTATTGCATCTGGTGTAACCTGTAAGTTCATGATATCCATGTATACATTGAGATGATTGATGGGGTCGATTTTCCCATCGTACTTCTTTATCCGAGGATACTTGAAGCTATCGGGAAGAGGGCGTGAGAGGACTTCTGGAGTGAATGGTGTATTGGGGGTGAACCCTGTTGCTGCTCGAGTATTTTGTTGCATACCCACCGCTATCCCTTCTTGAATAATTCTAGCAAGTTCAGCGGAGTCCATTGTAACAGACCTTGAACCTGAAGCCACTTGCGATGCACCTAAAGTTCCAACCCCGCCATCATCATGAGTCATATGGCGGACTCGAGCCCGGGCGTCTGCCATAAAACCACCTCCGGGAGTGGGGTATACGACGGGTGCGAATTTCTCTGGCTTAACAATTAGGTTAATATGGCCACCTCTTGACGAAGTTCCTCAATATCTCTGGGGTAACAACAGCTTGAGGAGGTGCTGGCATCTCCGACGATTCTTATTGAGGGACATGGCATTCCTCAGGAGGAGGAGGGATGTCCGGGACGGGCGACCTTGCTGGAGAAAGACCTAAACGTGTATTGACCATGGCTCTTGGTAGCGGTTCCCACAAACGGCACCAATGATGCTACCAAAAAATAGTACCTGAAAGATCTTGAACTTGATGATCGAACTCTGAACTTTGATTAACACAAACAGTCTTTGAATACCTGCAACAAAGGCAACGAAGTGTGTGCTCGTCGCCTCTCCGATACTCAAATCAGATAGGAAATTTAGTGCGTAAGACTATAAATTGAAAATAATGAAAAACGTACCTCAAGAATAAGCCCAGGATATGTATTTATAGGTGCTGATGATAGAGTCCTAGAAGGACTTAATCATGTGAGATCTTTATCCTCGTAGGATAAGGAGTTAGTGTTTCACTCCAAGTGTTCAACCATTATTTAAGTCGGAGAAGGAGTCCAATAGGGTAAGGATCGTGGTCTAAATAGAATTTGCACTCTTCTAGGTTATTGGAAAGAGTGGGACAAGAGCATATGAGGTCGTCGAAAAGAACATACCCCCGACCTCACTTTTGATGGTTTTGGAGGAGGTTGAGGTCGGGTTAAAACATGTTGAGATCGGGGGAAAGCAATTCCCTCTATGTGAAAGAAGGCAAGTAAGATTTGTTTATTAGGCGCGACTTCATTGAAGTCGAAGTATTGTTCGTCTTTGTAAGCCCATTCGATTGGATTTTCTCCATAAAATTTAGGGAATGTGAGTTTGTACTAATGGTTGTTATGGTGTGAGGAAGGTCATGGGTGACTGGCCGAATGTAGATTAGGTTGATGGGATGATTCGTTTGGGGAAAAAAGGTTCGTGTCTGGGTGATTAGCATGAGGAATCTGTGAAGCTCGCAAGGATTGTAGTTCTTGCAAAATAGCCTGTAGCGTGACGTGAACTTCATCAATACTAGATTCATGGCGTCCTAATATTTCATGAACTTCATTTTGGAATTCAGTGTTCAATTGATTTCGAGTAGCCATACTTAACCTAACTCTGATGCCAATGATATTGAGATTTTAAGCAGGAAGAAGAGAAGGACAAAAGATGATATAAGGGAAGATACAAGTGCTATAAATGTCATGTTTGATGGCTCGTGATTCTTTTAAAGGGGTCGATATTATTGTTAGCAGTTAACACTGGTTCCTACATTGAGCACAGAGAGAGACCTAGGAGCCTAGCTATATTATTAGGTCCAATTATGTCTGATGGCCAAGCGCCGGAGGATGAGAGTAGCCAACTAGCTTTTTTTGTAAAAAGTTTCATTCTTCAATTAATCTGGCAATGCCGATGGCATCTATGAGTGTTGGAGGTTGTTTAATTTTTACATCGAGTCGTACCTCATCACATAATCCGACTATGAAGCACCCCACAAGAAAGGATTCTGGCAAACCATATACTCGGTGGGATAGTTTCTTGAAAGCTTCTTGGTAAGTTGTGACAATGGTTGTTTATTTGAGTTGAGAGAGTGCTTCGGAGGGGTCTTCATAATCCGTTGGCCCAAATCGAAGTAGCATAGTTTTGGTAAAATTTGTCCAGGTCATTAATCTTCTAAACTTGGGGAACCATTGATGCCAATAGAGAGCAATTTCGTTCAGGTGAAATGAGGCAAGTAAGACTTGTTGATTAGGAGTGACTTCATTAAAGTCGAAGTATTGTTCGGCTTCGTAGACCCATCCCTTTGGATCTTCTCCATAAAATTTTGGGAAGGGGGGCTTGAGATGATGGTTGTTATGGTGTGAGGAAGGTTATGAGTGACTGGCTAAAGGTCGGTTAAGTTGACGTGATGATTTGGTTGGGCAAATGGGTTTGTGTCTGGGTGATTGGCACGGGGAATTTGTGATGTTCACAAGGATTGTAGTTTTTGCAAAGTAGTTTGTAGGGTGGCAGGAACCATCATCAATACTGGATTCATGGCATCCCAATATTTCGTGATAGGGTTGGACATGATCCAGTTCGATTCGGTTCTCGTTAAAATCAAACCGTACCCAAGAATTTCAGGTATTTAGTAAGTGGAACTGTGGGTCCAAATTTAATTATGGAATTGTTCGGGTTCGGTTTCATTCGATTCGGTTCCTAGGTTCCGTATTATGATTAAATTTTTTAATATTTACAAAACTACATTAATTCAACTAATGATATGTTCAATCTTAGCTCCTACGTAGCTCAATCTTATGTGTCTTTTGTGTCTCTTTTTAATAAGTTCTTCATAGATTTGATTATCAAAATCACAGGAAAAGGAAGATAGTAAGCTCACAATAATTAAGAGAGGTGTTGTCTAGTTTCAATCAAATTTTTTCAGAACGGTAAAAATGGCCCTACGATAGAATAACAGATTTGAATAAAACTTAGTCCAATTTAATTAGATTGGCTTTAAGTTGGCAATTAGAAATAGGAAAATCATTTTTTGGTTTTGAACTAAATTAACTAGTTAAAAAATTTATTTAGAAAAAATAAAATTAATTAATTAAAAAAATTATAGATATTCGGTTCTTCGATTTTTTATTAAGAACCGAACCCAACCAATCAATTCTCCATTTAGATACCGATTCGGATATTTAACTTAAGAAGAACTGCTTGATTCGATTCGAGAAATTTATCCAACTGTATCTCGTGAACTTCATTTTGGAATTCAACGTTGGATTGATTTCTAATAGCCTATTTAACTTGTCTCTGATACCAATGATATGGAGATTTTATGCAGGAAGAAAAAGACGAGATGATACGAGGGAAGATATAAATGATGTAATTGTCATGTTTATTCATTTACCATTAAAGGCTGACCAGTGACAATAATCAAGTAATTCAACTAAATAATCTAGAATAAAGGAATAACAATTCAACTAAGAAGTAGCTATAAAAAAATCGCATGAAGCTATTTTCCAACAGCCACCACACACGTTTGAATGTGTTTCATGGCTTCTGTAATTCATCAACAGCAATCTGCATGTACTTGGTCTTCCTAGATAAATGACCCACCGGCTGCCATCCATGAATACGTGCGCACATATCATACTCTTTAAGAGAGGAAACCAAGAAAACATTTTTCCATCTCTCTCAGTCGGACGAGTTTGCATGGCTTTGCTCTCCACGTCCACGAGATGCGAATAGAACATATAAACCTTCTGAAGGCCTTTACATTTGAAATGTGATCAATGGATGAAAGTAACGAGAAATTGAGATACTATTCTTCCATGGATATAACATTTGAAAAGGCCTTTACACATATAAATGGATGCATCATGCAAGAGAGCAAGAGGCAAAAAAAAGTTGCATATTAAGGTGATGAAAAATAACAATCCATAAAAATATATGATCAAACATAACAAGTTTAAATCTCTACTCGCATTTGAAAGCAGATGGACAAAACATATCCTTAATGTCTACAATCCCAACAGTACACCAAAAAGCTCTTCGAATAATGAAAAATTTTCAAATTCATCCATGGAACATTAGCCTAATAAAAGAAGCCAAGCACTTTTCCACCAACATTCTTTCTTCTAGCCTCTTCATGGTCCATGATCCCGGCAGATGTCGTCAACACAATGTATCCAAACTGCAAGTTCAAGAAATTATGTCAATTGTGTAAAAACATACAAATGATGAAGGAAAATAAGGTAATAAAACAATTTTGGTCACTTCGGCCTTTAATCAACCAAAATCGTCATAATCACAAAAGTACAGTATATCATTCTTATTCTATGTTAGATATATAATATAAGCATGCAAGCTTCAGACAAATGTTTAAAGTCCAAACAGGCATATTTAACATGTTTGCCTATACTTAAAAATAGGAATTCCTTTTCAAAGTAAATTTTGTTTCTTTCTAAATATTTTTGGATAATTTGCTTTTCAATTTAGAGAGAGAGATAGAGAGAAAAGTTTATACAGAAGATAAGCCAAACAAGCTCTAAGTACATCTTTAGGATAAGATACTGTTACTCCACATAATGAATCCACAACAAAAAATGAGGTATCCTTCAAAACCCATCAGTATTGACAAAAGGACGTTTCTCTAACATTCATATTGAACATCATTTTTATTTCTAGCCTGAAAGAAGCTGTCATCATCCAAACTTTAATCTAGAAATCTTCTATGAATTACCTGTCTGGAGGGAAGTAACCTTGCAGTCCACCCCTCAATTTCCTTGACACCAACATCAAAGCGAGGGCTGATGACTCCACACTTGTTCAACCTTCCATTCAGTTCGACCACAATTTTACCAGATCGGTGGTCATCGACATATTCAAACTCCCCAATATATCCTGCATATATTATCAGATTAAAAAAACATATAACAATAAACAAAGCACTCCCAAAAATTACTGCAACAAAAAATTGTTTCTCATACCATGCTTCTGCATCACCAAGAGAAACTTAATAATGACCTTGGAAGAGGGTCTAATCATGACCTGACGCTTCCCTCGCTTCTCCGCATTGTACATACTCTTGAGAGCATCATTCAGTACACTAACTCTAACCATCTTTGCTTATAGATAATGCTGTGCTGTACAACATATACACAAGTCATCATTATTTACATCCTTCCAATGAATACACTTATTTAACGGAAAACTACTCACAATTTTGTGCAATCAAACGTTAGGAAAAAATGGATCCTCGCACGTGAAACATCATTCAGAAACAGTACAAAATAAACCTACTAACTGAATCAATTACATCCAAAATTATTGAATTAAAAAATGAAAAAAGAGAAAACTATAGTTTCTACACTATTTTCTCCGATAGTCCAACTGATCGAATTGCATTATAAAGTAGATAAAACAACACTTCTCAAAAATTTGATTTCCCTTTTTCCTTCTCCAGTATTTTCTCGTTTAGCCCCTAAGTCAAGTTAGATGGTAATGCACAAAAAAGGAAAGTTTTGAACGGGCTTGGATCCACTAGTTCGACTGGAAAGTTTAATACATATAACTGCTAAATGTTCCAATAAAAAATATTGTAGCGGAGATTTGTTCAGAAATATAAGTTCACTATTAGTCCAACTGCTGCTTTTCATTGAAAAAGGGCTCAACCGCGATCTTAATTGAAGTTGATAAAAGAGAGAAAAAAAAGGACACAACTTTTACTCGTTATGCATTCATTGGACGCAGCTGCAGATCCCCATTTGCTTGCACTCAATAAAATTCCGCAAAATAAAAAATCAAAGAAAGTTCATGTATGTAACCTGTCTTCCGATCACGGCACTAACTTGCTTATATACAACAAAATTTCCAAAAAATAAATAAGTAAACGTCATGAAATAAAAGAAAGGATCAAAAAGAAAGACACGTCGAACAGCGAACAGAGACAAAAGAAAAATCAAGAAATATAGGAAAATCATAATAATAAAAAAAAAAAACTGCGTTCATATATACACGTAACTACAAACGTATGAATGAGTGAACACTAACGCTTACCAGGAAGCCAAGAGAGATATCAGGAAGCCGGCGCCACACCAGGAGCTAGGGTTTGAGCTTTTGAGAAGACAGTGCTGCAAAAATCTAGTTTTTATAGCAGTCGATTGTAACCTAATAAATGTGAGCAAAACGGATCGGGTTAGAGCAGGCCCAGTGAAACCTGAGGGCTGTCAGAACGAGTTGGGCCGCCTTGGCCCGCATCTTTTACTTTTATTTATTAGTTTCATGCCCGTGCATTACACGGGCTGTGTTTTTTTCTTAAGGTAATATTAGTATATTAAAAAATGAAAAATATATGGTCCTACTTTTGAAATAAAACAGAAGATATTCATAATAAAATAATATTAACCTTACAACATAAATTCTAAAGAAGAATCGATACTTTAGTATATGGAACAACCAGATATCCGAAGGAACACCTGTGTAGGTTTTGCCTTCATATAAAACTAATTCAACTTGAACTCCAACTTTTTAAAGAGTTTCAGCAAAACATTTACTGAAAGCAAAATTTGTTAAAAGTACATTTTTATAGCCTATGAAACACATATGAGCTCTTTTACAATTGTTCAAAGTAATCTATTGAGTGAAAACATTTTTTTCTTCTAAGAGACGGTTTTGAGTACTTGATTTATTACGTAGAGGGTGATGTATTTAGTTTGGGTAAATGGGACCATCAACTGTCTTTTGTTTGGCTGGAGAACATTTATCAACAAAAAGTTTATGGCATAAGCATAAGAATAATGATAAACTTTGGGCATTTTAGCTTTGGTGCCCCTTTTTTACTTGATGCAGTTTATTAGCTGGATTCATGTATGCTAGAATTGTCCCTTTGTCTGTTGGATTGAATGGGAGGAAGTGAACTTATGTGATTCCAAAATGTGCCTTGTAGGAAAATAGTTAAATCAAAAGAAAATTATCGATACTCAGGGGCGGAGCCAGGTATATACGCTGCGGGGGGCTATGGTGCTTGGATTCGGCTATAGGGAGCATTTTTTTTTTTAAAAGTTGATGTAATTCAAATATAACAAAAAAAAAAAAATTGTTATAATGTAACATTATCTAAAATTGCACCTAACAAGATTTTACATCATAAAATCATCTATAATAAATTTACATATAAATTCTTAGTAAATTCTCGTTCGATGTAAAGTTTCATACAATCAACAAGAAAACTATTATTTGTTCCAAAAAGTAACTAAACTAAGAATATCTCATCACTAGTATTCAAGACGATGACTTGAAGGACCACACGAGTGCGACCGTGCGAGCTAAAAAAATTGGGTGTGTAGACCAAGAAGTTTGAAAATAGAAACACGTGAATTAAGGGGTAATTTTTAGAAAGGCTGGAAAATTGTTTCTTTTTTCCACAATGGCCTCTTTTATCAAAAATACTATTTTGCCCTTATTATAGTTATTTACAAGATGTATATTATATCTTTAAGGATTTATCAATCAGGACCTATATCTATATTTTTCAACCTTTCAAACATCTTTAAATATTCTTTGTATCTTGATAGTTCTTCAAAGATTATAGGTTGACCTTTCTTGGTTATATATTCTCGAACTAATCCTTCTGAAATTTCTTCTTGTATATTTCTATGTTTGGTTATAATATCTTCTACCTTTCTTATTTCTCTACTAGTTCCTACAGAATCAAATCTTATATTATTTCTACAATTATAATCTATATCTCTATATATTTCTTCAATTTTTTCTTTGCCAACAGGAAATACATCTTCAGATTTTTCATCTGATTTAAGTAAAAACGTAACATCTTTTTTATCTAAAAATAAAATAAGATTATTATCATCATCAATAGTGGAAGTGGATGCTTGTGAATTATTCATCAGAATAATTAAAGCATAAGCATGTAAAAACAAGTAAATAACTTACAGTAATCAAGTGGAAATAAACAGGTTTTCCCTCCAGTATGCTCTTATAGATGCTTTGCATGTACTTAATCAATCTTCTGAATCAAGTAAAGATTTAAAATGTTTTTGAAATCATTTGGGTCCACAACTACTTCCGCAAAAGGCTTTTCAATTAAGGTTGCATTTCTCACTCTAGAGAACTAGCCGTGTTTCCACAGACGCTATCTCATAGTATCCAGAGTCTCTATTTTCACCTCTATCCAAACTCTTTTCAGAATCAAGTTCCTACTTGGAATGAAATTTTAAAAGATAACTCACACACAAGGTGCTACAATTTTGTTAGAAGACTGCCTTTTTTCCCCTAAACCATTCTTCAAACATGGGTACTTTGACATGGCTAACATCCATTCAAAATCAATGTTTTGAAAATCTTTTAAAATCTCTATCTGTATTGCTGAAAAATCATGAGAAACTTAACGAAATCCTTTTATGAAAGCTTTGTTGAACATAACAAACTTTACTTTAATATTCATAAACTGAAATTGTACATGCTTACAAACTATATTTACATACCTTTGGTACTCACCTTATGAAGTTTAGAACTCCATAAGTGATTACCTTATTACACGCTTTACTATCTTAAAGCTATCTAATATTTTTCTTAATACAAGTGGTGTAAACAGATTACAAAAGATTTATCTCTAAGATGTGTTTCTTCAGAGTGTTTAAGAGATAAGCTGTTTCGAGATATCTTCCTTCTTCCTCATTGCCTCCTTTTATAGAAGCCTTTGGGAACCTTATCTTGACAGGTGTTTTCCACCTTTCTTTGTTGGGTAGCTAGGCCATCTTATCTCCACCGAATTTTTCATTATCTTCTTGCAGGGTGGACCTCTCCTTTTGAAATTGTATGCCTTATCTTTCGAGTTTGTCTACCACTTTTGACAAATGGTGGGGAGTAGTCACAATTATGGAGACTTTTCTTGCATTATCTTCTGTCTTTTAGTAGTCACAGTTTTTCTTTAATAAATTTTTTTATTAAAGTAGTGATAAAGGGCTACTTTTGTCACCATCACTTTTCCATTTTCGAATCAAAAAATTCTGCAGGGAATTCTTCACTATTAAGAGATGCTTGACTCATATCTTCAACAACACAGTATTCACAATGGTGATCACTATAGTTCCAGAGTAATTTGCATAGTTCTTTAGCCATATCTTCTGATCCATGTACTTGGTTGGAAATAATTGCAGATAATAAATGGTCGAGATAACAAATATCTTCTTCTTTGGTGGCCATCCTTGCATTGGAATAGATAATATGATCTTCAGATGGATAAACCAATATTTTTTCTTTCTCAATAATTATCTGAGTTACATGTTCAAATATCTCTTTATACCCTTTTGCTCTCCTTTAGGGCATCATATTTAGAATATCTTGATATCCATTTTTAACAACCTTTTAATTGGTTGGTAAAAAATGTTGATTTGTAAGTCCCATTTTTATCACATGGAACGATGGATGCATATATTCAAAAACAGGATCCCATTCCATGGTTGCTGAATGGAATCTGATATATATATTTGTTGTCTTAACGACTTCAGTATATCTTTTAACAGATTTCCTGATGTTGGCTGGAAGCTGAGCTATCTCTTTGAGATCTTTGCTAGGATATATACAAAGTATATTTCCTATCTCAAAACAATTTCGAACCCAGTTGGCTGGTGCTCCTAGATAAAAATTTATCTTGTTGTATTTTGAATAGTAGAGAGTCTTCATCCACTTTTCAATCTCCAGATACCAATCTGATAAAATATTAAAAATAACTATAAAGAGTGTTACTTCTTCATGGTTATCTTTTCTGGGAAATTTTGCTTCATGGCATATCTTGACAATATCTTTTGGATCTATCCTTTCAATAGAAAATTTAGATTGAGTTTGGATCTGTGAAGAGCTACCTTCTATTTTGATATCTTGAATATCTTTATTACCAGTAATAGGTTCAAATTTTCCATGTGAGGGGGTTCCTATTACCTTCTTTTCTTTTTCTTTATCCTCGGGGAGAGCGCTAGTATTCACAAGTCCCTGCAAAGGGATACTAGACTTGGTACAAATAACTTCTGCCTCAAGGGCTATATTTTTGCCTCGTAGGCTATCTTGAATATTTTGAATTTGTGTTTCCAAATAGAAAACTTTTATCTCAAGTATCTGGACTTTCGTCCTTAGTTGTTCTAGGTTCATCCCTACTAAGATAATCAGGAAAAAAGTTAGTTTTACCTTTTATGTATTCAATATCAAATTTGAAATATGAAAACCAAATTTGTATCCTAATAATATATCTATTGGTAATAGATGGATCAACATTATTTTTTAGAAAGGCTTTAACTTGAGTATTATCAGTTCTAATCAAGAACTTTTTTGGTAATAAATAATCTTCATATTTTTGAACTCCTCTTTTTACAGCAATGAGTTCCTTCCTGTTTTGTTTCATATCTTGTTTCAACTTCTTTGAATGTTCCTGATGTATAACCTGCAAGTATCTCAGGACAAGAACAATCATTTTCACATTTATATTCTTTATGATTCTTTTTCACCTTTAACACTGCTCCCCAATAATAATCTGAAGCATCAATTTCAAGGATAAAGAAATTTTTTTCTTGTGGTATTACAAGTTTGGGCAATACTTTTAACTCTTCTTTTACTTTCCTTATATTTTCACAATCTTGTTCTTCCCAAGGCCACATTATATTTTTCTTAATTTTGGAAGAAAATAATTTTTCAATTTGGCACAATTTTCAATGAATCCTTCAGCATAATTTAATAAAACAAGGAAGCTTTGTAATTCTTTTTTATCTTTGATTTCTTCAGAAAATTCTTGAAACTTTTCTCCAATATGAGATTGCAATTGCAATTCTCCTTCTTTTATAAATAATCCTAAAAATTCTATTTCTATTTTAGCTATCTCAACTTTCTTTTGAGAAAGTGTAATACCATATTTTTTCATAATATAACAAAATTTCTCAAGATGTTTAATATGTTCATCAATATTATTTGAATGAATAAGTAGATCATCTACATATATAATACAGAAATGAGTAATTGGTTTGATTACATCATCCATCCTTCTTTGGAATATCTGTGGTGCATTTTTCAACCCAAATGGCATTACATTCCATTCGTATTGTCCTAAAGGATTGGGGGTACTAAATGCAGTTAGTGGTTTACTTTCTTCTGTAAGCATGATTTGCCAAAACCCT